CCCTAAGGTGCAGGCTGCAGGGAGCTAGGTGACCACCAGAAGACGTAAGAGGGGAAAGCAGATAGCGCAGGGTTCTCCTGTGGCCATTGCCCTCAATAACAGGTATAGCACTTTGGATACTGTTTGGGGGTGTGGGATTGTGACCTTTCAGGGGGTAGCAGCAGCAGTTGGATCAGTGGCGCTGTGATCGGCTCAGAGGGAAAGGGTGCCGTCAGACACAATGATACTGATAGAAGACTTAGCTGTGAGAGGGACAGACAGGAGATTCTGTGGATGCTGAAGAGACACCAGGATGGCGTGTTGTCTCCCAGGTGCCAGGGTCAAGGATGTCTCTGAGCGGTTGCAGAAGATTCTGAAGGGGGAGGGTGAACAACCAGAGGTCATTGTGCACATCGGTACAAATGACATAGGGAGACAAAGGGATGGGGTCCTGTGAGGGAGTTAGGTAAGAAGTTAAAAAGCAGGACCTCAAGGGTAGTGATCTCCGGATTACTCCCAGTGCCAAGCGCCAGTGGGGATAGAAATATAAAGATAGGCCAGATGAATGCGCGGCTGAGGAGCTGGTATAGGGGACAGGGTTTTCATGTCTTGGATCATTGGGATCTTCTGGGATAGAGGTGACCTGTACAAGAGGGACAGGTTGCACTTGAACTGAGGGGATCCAATATCCTCATGGGGAGATTTGCCAGTGTTACCCGGGAGGATTTAAACTAGTTTGGCAGAGGGGTGGGATGAGAGAGGGGCCATCGAAAAGTCAGGGGAAAATACATTAGCCATCGAGAGCGCATTTACTATTCAGGATAGCCAGAGGCACAGTAAAGGGAGGGAAAAGACGTCTGGTTTAAATTGCATTTATTTCAACGCACGATGCCTGACTTGTAAAGCAGATGAGCTCAGAGCATGGATTTGGTCTGGGGACTAGGACATTAGAGCCATAACAGAAACATGGCTGAGAGAAGGGCAGGACTGGCAGCTCAATGTTCCTGGATACAGAAGCTACATGTGTGGGAGAAGTACAAGTAAGCGAGGAAGGGGAGTTGCCCTTTTGATAAGGGCGGAGATAACAACAATGCTTACAGAGGATATTTTCAAGCAGTCATCAAGTGAGGCCATATGGTTAAAAGTTAGAAACAAGAAGGGGATGGTCACTCTGTTGGGACTGTATTATAGCCCCCCAAATAGGCAGTAGGTACTAGAGGAGCAGATGTGTAGCGAGATTGCAGATAGCTGTAGGAGTATTGGTTGGAGATTTTAATTTCCCCTGTATTGAGTGGGCCACCCAGTGTAAGAGGTCCGGATGGCGTGGAATTTGTCAAATGTATCCAAGAAAGTTTCCTAAATCAATATGTAGGGAGCCTATAATTGACATCCTCCTAGGAACTGAGTTTAGGCAAGTGACTGAAGTATCACTTGGAGAGCGCTTTGGGTCCAGTGACCGTAACTCTCTTAGTTTTAACATAGTTATGAAAAAAAAAGGACAGGTCCACAGGCTAAGGTGCTGAACTGGAACAGGGTCAATTTTGGAGCCATTAGGCAGGATCTAGCAGAGGTCGATTGAGTGAGTCTGTTTGAAAGAAAAGGAGTGACTTGCAAATGGGAGGCTTTTAAAACTGTGATATCAAGAGTCCAGGGACAGTACATCCCTGTCAGGGTGAAGGGAAAAGCTAGCAGGTTTAGGGATCCCTGGCTGACAAGGGATATTGAGGCTCTGGTCAGGAAAAAGAAGAAGGCATACATTGGGTTTAAGCTATCAAGCTCAAGTGAATCCCTAGATGCCTATAAAAAGTGTAAGAGCACACTTAAGAGGGAAAACAGAAGAGCAGAGAGATGGTATGAGATGGATCTGACAGATAAGGTTAAAGATAATCCCAAGAGGTTCTATAGCTATATTAAGAGAAAAAGGGTGCCTGGGGAGAGAATAGGTCCCCTTAAAGATCAGCATGGCCGTTTATGTGTGGAGACACAGGAGATGGGGGAGATTTTTAATGAATATTTCTCCTCAGTGTTTACTGAGGAGAGAATAATGGGTGCTAAGGAAACAAGTGGGGATGTTTTGTACCGCATACATATTACTACAGAGGAGGTGTTTGCAGCCTTGAAGCACATTAAGGTGATAATCAAGTCCATCCTCGGACGATGTGGGAGGTTAGGGAAGAAATTGCAGAGGCCCTTGCAGAGATTTTTGCTTCATCTTTAGCCACTGGTGAAGTTCGGGAAGACTGGAGGGTGGCTAATGTTGTTCCATTTTTTAAGACAAGCCACGGAACTACAGGCCAGTGAGCCTGGTAGTAGTCAAGTGGTAGGCAAGTTATTGGAGAGGATACTGAGGGACAGGATCAACCAACATTTGGTTAGTAAAGGTCTGATTTGGGATAGTCAGCATGGATTTGTGCGCGGGAAATCATGTCTGACAAATTTTTTAGAGTTTTTTAAAAAGGTAACTAAAAGGATAGATGAGGGTAGGGCAATGGATGTTGTCTACACAGACTTTAGTAAGGCCTTTGACAAGGTCAAAGGAGAATCCAAAGGGATTTTATAAATACATTAAGGACTAAAAAGGTAACTAGGGAGAGAATAGGGCACCTTAAAGTTCAGCAACATTGCCTATATGTGAAACTGCAGGAGATAGGGGTGATACTAAACAAGTATTTTGCATCAGTGTTTACTGTGGAGAAGGATATGGAAGATATAGAACATGGAGAAATAAATAGTGACATCTTGAAAAATGTCCCTATTACAGAGAGGGAGGTGCTGGATGTCTTAAAATGCATAAAGGTGGATAAATCCCTGGGACCTGATCAGGAGTACCCTAAAAACTCTGTGGAAAGCTAGGGAAGTGATTGCTGGGCCTCTTACTGAGATATTTGTATCATCGATAGCCACAGATGAGTTGCCAGAAGACTGGAGGTTGGCTAACGTGGTGCCACTATTTAAGAAAGGTGGGAAGGAAAAGCCAGGGAACTATTGACCAGTGAACCTGACATCAGTGATGTGCAAGTTTCTGGAGGGTATCCTGAGGGACAGGATTTACATGCATTTGGAAAGGCAGGGACTGATTTGGGATAGTCAACATAGCTTTGTGTGTGGAAAATCATGTCTCACTAATTTGGTGATGTTTTTGAAGAAATAACAAAGAGGACTGATGAGGGCAGAGCAGTGGATGTGATCCATATGGACTTCAGTAAAGGCATTTGACAAGGTTCCTCACGGTAGACTCGTTAGCAATATTAGATCACATGGAATACAGGGAGAGCTAGTCATTTGGATACAGAATTGGCTCAAATGTAGAAGACAGAGGGTGGTGGTGGATAGTTACTTTTCAGACTGGAGGCCTGTGACCAGCGGTGTGCCATAAGAATCGGAGCTGGGTCCACTGCTTTTCATCATTTATATAAATGATTTGGATGTGAACATAGAGGGTTTGATTGCTAAGTTTGCAGATGACACCAAAATTGGAGGTGTAATGTACAGCGAAGGAGGTTACCTCAGAATACAATGGGATCTTGATCAGATTGACCAATGGGCCGAGGAATGGCAGATGGAGTTTAATTCAGATAAATGTGAGGTGCTGCATTTTGGAAAGGCAAACCAGGGCAGGACTCATACACTTAATGGTTAGGGCCTGGGGAGTATTGCTGCACAAAAAGACCTTGGAGTGCAGGTTGAAATTGGAGCTGCAGGTAGATAGGAGAATGAAAAAGGCATTTGGAATGCTTGCCTTTATTGGTCACTGCACTGAGTATAGGAGTTGGGAGGTCACGTTGTGGCACAGGCGCATTGGTTAGACCACTTTTGGAATACTGCGTGCAATTCTGGTCTTCCTGCTATAGGAAGGATGTTGTGAAACTTGAAAGGGTTCAGAAGAGATTTACAAGGATGTTGCCAGGGTTGGAGGGTTTGAGCTATAGGAAGAGCTGAATAGGTTGGGGCTATTTTCCCTGGAGCATCGGAGACTGAGGGGTGACCTTACAGAAGTTTATAAAATCATGAGGGGCATGGATAGGGTAAATAGACAAGGTCTTTTCTCTGTGGGGGGGGGGGAGTCCAAAACTAGAGGTTTAAGGTGAGAGGGGAAGGGTTAAAAGGGACCTAAGGGGTAACGTTTTCACACAGAGGGTGGTGCGTGTATGAGCTGCCAGAGGAAGTGGTGGGGGCTGGTACAACTACAGCATTTAAAAGGCATCTGGAGGGGCGTATGAATAGGAAGGGTTTAGAGGGATATGGGCCAAATGCTGGCAAATGGGACTAGATTAATTTAGGATATCTGGTCAGCATGGACAAGTTGGACCAAAGGGTCTGTTTCCATGCTGTAAAACTTTATGACTGACTCCCAGTCTGTGCAATTAGTAGACTCTGTCGGGTTGGGTACCTAGACTGTGAACTATCACTGGGTTGAGAAGAGACATGAGGCAGGAAATGGTGGCATCACTTTTAAGATTCTCACTTCACACCCACTGTCCTGAGAGAGTGAGAGTTTAGGTGTGGGTAGTATGTAATTAATGAAAAGAAGCAGAAGAGAATGAAGGGACTTTATTTACTGGGAGTTATGATCTGACACAGTCTCTAAACAGGCAATGAAAACAGATTCAATAATAATTTACAAATGAGAATTGCATAAATAGCTACGCTTTGCAGGGTTCCAGCTGAAATGAGATTAATTGGAGAGCTCATTCAAATGAACAGTGCAGGCAGAATGGGACAAGTGGCCTCCTTCTGTGCTGAGATTCTATCAGTATCTGAGAGCAGATGGGGCAAGACCTTGAAACCTGGGAAGCCTCCCATTGGATAATGTACAAGGTGTGTGGACCGCTCTGTAGGATTCATCCCCCAATGAGATTCAATTCACTCCAAATGTGCGTGAGAGACAGAGTATGCGTGAGAGAGCGTGAGAGTGAATGCTATGGATGTAGAAACCTGTATCTGTTGCTCCCACATTCACAGAATCAGCTGCTCTCAGGAGTCCCCCAATTATGACTCAAAGAAGTTGACACAAACTCTGGTTTTAAAATACAAAATCTGACTTTTATTAAATTAATATATACTCTGCAGCCATCCAACACCAACACACCGACTGTACAGGTGAGAGAATTGAAAGATCCTATGTTGTTCACAGCCCACATCACAACACAGTTTGTTCCACCCCAGACAGGAGCTGCCCAGTTTCCACATGCTGACTATACACTTCCAGGTCAGTGCAGGAAACAACAACTCAGGAGGAAAATCACCAGTGTATTAACAGGAAATATTGTCGCCCTGTTTTCTTTCAAGATTTTAATTTATTAAAAAAAGAAAGACCCTGGCACTGGGGGGATAAAGGTTGTTTTATTGTGGCTCAAAGGTAACCCATTCTCACCTGTTCCCAGGGACAGGTGCAGATCTCACTCACTAACCCACAAGCAAACCCTGCAGAGGTCAAAGACAGAGTTACAGGGCCATCAATGTCTTTGCATCAGCTCATTCAGCCCAGGTTCCCAGCTACACCAGGACAGACCCAACAGTGGGAAACAGTGACAGTCAAAGAAAAAATTATTTGTAACAAATGAGATCAAAGTTCAATGTTCATTGCAGGAAAACATACCCCAAAGGCAACTCATTAAAACTCAGGTCTGGGTGAGTAAGAGGTTGAAATCACGTTCTCACCAGCACCAACAATTATAAACTCCCCACGTTTGTTATCTTGTGAAAGGTCACTGATATGGAAGTGACCTGCCTGGGACTAACAGGCATGGATGCTAAATGGAATTGGAAAAACATCTGAATGGGAAAAACATATAGTGCTACAGGGTGTGCGATGAATGGGTAGCTCTTTTGAAGAGCACGCACAGACACAATAGGGTTGAATGGCCTCATTTTGTGCTGCAAGATTCTGTAGATACAGGCTTTGACAGAGCAGATTACAGCAATGGACTAGGTACAAAGCTGCTGCAGAAAGAATACTGGGGAAAAGGGCTCTTTTATTCCTTGTATAAAAGCAAAATACTGCGGCTGCTAGAAATTTAAAATAAAAACTGCAAATACTCAGCAGATCAGGCAGTATCTGTGGAGAGAGAAACAGATATCTGAGTCCAATATGAATCTTCAGAATTGAAGGAACTTCTCAGCACATGCTGCCAGGCCTGCTGAATATTTCCAGGAATTTGTTCATATTTTATTACTCAACTTCTCTAAAAACATAAATAGGTGGACATTGAGGTTGATTAATATTGAGATTTTAAGAAAACCAGTGACATTTCAAAACATTTTCTTCCATCTTCAAGCACCTCTGATGATTGCACACTCTCTCTCTCACACATCCTATCCTTCCTGCCCAGTGTAAAGATTGCAGAGACATTAAAACACAAATTTCTCTCTCAATTCGTAATCTTTGGCCGTCACACTGATTTCCATCATCACACATGTACACACTAATGTCTGAGGTATTGGGTACATTGTCCAGTCTACATCTAATTAGATACATCGTCCAAATCTCCTTTCTGTTTTGGCTGCTGCCACCAATCAGCAAGGATGTCTTCCTCATAGTCACCTTCTCCCTCAAACTCTTCATCAGTTATATCTGCCTCACTCTGGGAAAATGCTTCATCCGACACTTCCATCTGTTAACAACATTGGAAAGTGAGTATTCGAGAAGCTGCCTTTCCACCTCTCAACTGGCATACAGAAAATCGACAAGAGAGATCTCACTCCTTTTTATATTTACCTCTAAGTGAAGGCCAATACAAGGCCAATTACAGAAAATAACATATGCAGTTCCAGGCAAAACGTGTGTGAGATTAGAAAGATTAAATTTCTATCGAGCTCACACAACATCCAGTCCTAAAGTGTTTCATGGTCAACAAAATACTTTTACAAGCATTGTCACTCTAGTAATGAAGGAAATTCAGCAGCTAATTTGTGCATAGCAAGCTCCCACAAGCAGCATTGTGTTAATGAGCAGATAATTATTTCTAGTGACGACTGTTGAGGGATAAACATTGACCAAGACACAGAGCAGAAAGTTCCTGCCCTTCTTCAAAATACAGCCATGGAACTTTTACATTTACCTCAGGGTTCAGACATGGTCTTGTTTATTGTTTCATCCAAGAGACACCCCTCCCTCGTCCCCAACACCCCTCCCTCGTCCCCGACATCCCTCCCTCACTGCCAAAAAGGGTATTAAATGGTTGACGAATTTAAACAAACTTCAATGTTTGAATTGTATTTTCTGAAGTTTAGGAAATCTGGTTGAGATTTTGTTTTATTTATTCATGGGCATTAATGAAATTAGTGGTGAGCTGCAAACAAGGAGAAATGTTGAAGTAATTATGAAAGGATCCCAATGACAGTGAAGGAACGGCATCTATCTCCAAGTCAGGATGGTGGGTGGCTTGGAGGGGAACTTGCAGGGGGTGGTGTTCCCATGTATCTGCTGCCCTTGTCCTTCTAGATGGAAGTGGTCATGGGTTTGGAAGGTGCTGTCTGAGGATCTCTGGTGAATTTCTGCAGTGCATCTTGTAGATAGTACACACTGCTGCTACTGAGCATCGGTGGTGGAGGGAGTGGATGTTTATGGATGTGGTGCCAATCAAGTGGGCTGCTTTGTCCTGGATGGTATCAAGCTTTGAAGTCTTAAAAAGGTTTGATAAGGGAGATAGAGAAATTATTTTCTCAGATGAAAGAATCAAAAACAAAGGATCATAAATCTTAAATTTAGAATCAAGACATCCTCCTGAAATCTGGGAGAATTTTAGAAAAAACATAGTGGAAATCATGTTTATCCCCCCTCAAAAGCTGTCTGTTCTGGGGATCAAGACAAAGATTTATAAATTTTTGCTGAGAAATGATATCTAGGGATATGGAGATAAGATGGCAGGGGCAAGGGTGGGAGAGAAGGAGAAGGCTGGGGCGAAGGGGTAAGGTGGGAGCAGGGAGTGGGGCTGGGGGGCAGGTGGAAGCAAGATACAATAAATCATGATCTAACTGAACGGAGAAATCAACAAAAGCAGCTGATTGGCCTCTGTCTGTTCCAACATTGCAACAAAGGTCAGCGAAACGGTTTAAATATTTCCTGGTTAGGAACATTTCCCTCACTAATCGACAAAACTCACCTCGTCATCTGACTGCAAGAAAGTATCTGCAAATTCCAGTAACTGAATCTGTTGCTGAGTCTGGTTATAATAGAGATGAGCATCCTGCAAACAGAAGGAAATGACAGAGTAGTTACACAATGAATCTGACTTCAGACATCAGCAACTTGTGAAAGAAGATCATTGATTCTCCAGTACGTTTCATAAATAGAAGCAGAGAGTATATATTCAAAGGAGTTATGTTAAATCTTTGTAAATTGCTGGTTTGGGCTCAGATGGTGTTCAATATTAAGCAGCTTTAGGAAGGATTTTCTAAAAACATGATGGTGTCAATATGGATTCAAGCCAGTTGCTAAGACAGATGTCAATACACCTTCCTATATGAAAAGGAAGTTTATTGACTACTCAGTCTTACACCTCCATCCAGCCCTAGACCTACCTTTTTTGAGTAACTTCAAATAAAGTCATTAACAAACTTAACAATGTGATTAAGCACACATTTACAGATAAAAGTTGAATGAAAATTGGTATTCAGAGGGATTGGGTATTCTTGTACATGAAACCAACGTAAACATGGAATCACCAGCAAATAAGAGATAACAAGGTGTAGAGCTGGATGAACACAGCAGGCCAAGCAGCATCAGAGGAGCAGGAAGGCTGATGTTTC